TGACCTGCAGTTCTTTCCGTCTTCCGCAGACCCTTCACTCTTCGTCCGTGCTGGCCAGACTCCGTTCTACATCCTTGTTTACGTCGACGACCTGGTCTTTGCCACAGCAGACAGGGACACACTGGCCTCCGTGAAGGCAGAGCTGCTGAAGAGACACACGTGCACTGACCTTGGAGAACTGCGCCGTTATCTTGGCTTGCAGATCTCCAGGGACAGAGCTGCGCGCACCATCACCCTGACTCAGTCACACTTGGTGCGCCAGGTCCTTCAGAGGTTCAGCCTTCAGTTCTCCTCTGCACAGCCCACCCCTCTGCCTGTAGACCACAGACTCTCCGCTCCAGTGTCTGAGGAGTTGGTAGAGCCCAGCGGCCCCTACGCAGAGCTGGTGGGTTGCCTCATGTACCTGATGACTTGCACTCGCCCAGATCTCGCATACCCTCTCAGCATCCTGGCTCGCTTTGTGGCCACAGGCAGACACCGACCGCAGCACTGGTCTGCCGCTAAGAGGGTTCTGCGTTATCTTGCTAGTACATCGGGCATGGGGTTAGTGCTAGGAGGACGCAGGCCAGTGGTCCTTACTGGACACACAGACGCTTCGTGGGCAGACGACGCTGAGACACTCAGGTCTACCCAGGGCTACTGCTTCAGCCTTGGCTCAGGTGCCGTTTCGTGGAGAGCTACCCGCTCCTCGTCTGTTGCTCAGTCCAGCTGTGAGGCTGAGATCTACGCCGGTGCCATGGCGGCGCAGGAGCTCCGCTGGCTGACCTTCTTGCTCACTGACTTAGGTGAGCGGCCTAGCTCTGCCCCGGTCCTGTTCGCTGACAACAGGGCCATGATCCTCCTGTGTCAGGAGCCTCGACTCGAGGGCAGAGCAAAGCACATTCAGCTGCGGTACTTCCTCCTGTGTGAGCTACAGCAGCGACGTCAGGCTCGCGTAGTACACTTGGCCTCAGGTGCCAACACGGCTGATATCTTTACGAAGGCGCTTGCGCCTAAAGATCATCAGCGGCACTGTGTACAGCTTGGTCTAGTTCCTGTAGCCTCTCACTTGCTAGGACCTTGACTTTGTACTGTCCTTTATACGTATACTCGGACTGGACTTGTGTCCTCTTCCAGTGGCTGGACTAGTAGTGCCGCCCTGCTCTTGTTCTTGCCGTGTTTGTACTCCTTCTGACTGGTCTCTCTGACCCTTGTCTTAGAGGTTGGACTAGTAGTGCCGCCCTGAGCTGCTTGTTTAGGACATTCCCCTATGCAGTCTAGGGGGTGTGTCAAACATGTGTATTTGTCATGTTTGTATAGACTGTATAGGGTCGCCTCTTAGAGGGTACAACACTTAGGTATATCTGTTTGTACCCTCACATTATCAATTATTCTCTTCTTCAATTCTGATACCTTCATCATACTGTAACTGCTGCATGCCATTGTGAGGAGAAATGTGGCCAAGTGTTTGTAGTAGCACGACGTTACCATGCTCATTGTTGGAGCATGAGTCCACGGTCATGGTCAAGCATATTGGAGAAATCTGTGAGTAACCCAATCGTTTCCTCTTCCTTTTGCAATGGGTCACTGATGACGATGACGGTGCCTTCTGTGTGCCTCATGCATTTCTAGTTTAATACGGATTCCATCAATTGGCATCGGTGTCTAGGCACGCATGATGGTATAGGTCCATTGGCATTGCCACGTGTCCTCTCTCGTTTGATGTTGACGACGTTGATGTCTTTTTAGCTACTACAGCATCGATGTTGAATATGCACCAGTTGTTCATGCAGGGGTACCATTGGAGAAACACAGATTCACAGTGGTCTTGGCCCTCTGGTTCATATTTATTAGCTTTCGTGGATGTGATCATGTTGATGGATTGTTTGTGACACAATTTTCGTAACTCATGTTGATGTCATTAAGTCATGAAGTCTTATGTATCATAGTAGTCCTCCCATCGACATGAGAGTATCTTTGTCTGGGCTCTTGAGGAAATGTGGCATAAATGCATTGTTTTAGAGCATGGTGATATCTCCATCCCACTAGGTGGAAGTCATGAATGTTGTGCCAGGCCGGGTATTTGAAATCGCGATGGAATATCTAGTGTCGTCTCCATTTTCGTGTTGTTATTCTCCGGTATCGTCTAAGTTACGTCGATGCGTGCAGCGCTCATCTCCAATACATGCATTTTAGGGTCACTGGTGAGCGAGTACCTACCAGGTTTGGGTTTCATTACTCCTCATCTGCCAAGCATCGTGTCATGCGCGGAGTATCTCCATCCCAGCCATAAACGCCCCGAATCACGATAAGCATGTTTGCGATTTTGCCTCTCGAGGTCGATGGTAAAAGTGCTCCAATCAATCACTGCGGATGGCTGAGATTTGTAGAGAGAAGTTGAATCAATCACCTCCTTGTACGAGGGTAGTGTCTCGTTGTTCCCGAGCATGCGTAGTAACTGTGTCATAGTTGCACGTGGAATCTGCTCCTTCGCAGCAACTTGTTTGACAAGGTTTTTGCAGGAGTAAACAAAAACTCTGCAATTCCGTAATGTGCATGTCGTATGAAGGAATCCATATCGTAGTTGTAGAATGATTATTATGCACCTCAGCTTATGTCGTTGGAGATTTTCTCTGCAACGTTGGCATACCAAAAAAATCTGGTTTTGTAGTGATGTACCAAATTTTGTTTCTTTGGTATCTATCCAGCTCCAAGACAAAGAATCTGATTTCATTGTAACGCTTTTGTTAATTCTGCGACTGCGGGAATGCCGCGTTGTTGTGCCACCGGGCACTGGTGTAGACTCCCTTAGGTTATTTTCCCAATGATTCCATTTCACTGGATGTGTTCCGTCTATCCGTATGATGCTGTTGGTGTTCTAATGACCGATGTGAACAAGAAGGTGATTATGGTTGATGAATGTGACTGTCGAGATGTCCCGGGACTCAAATTCGTGACCCTGTGAGGAGATCCGAAATTTCCCCAGTAGAGATATTCGAATGTCCAATCAACTATGATGATTTTGATTTGATGGACATGTTCTCCTTTGATTTGAAGCAGAAGCTTCTGTTTGATCTCGCTGGCAAGTTGAAGTGTTGACGGCCCTAACCCCAAGCATTTGAAACATTCTTGGCATTCAGCTTCATTGGGTGTCGGGGTTGACTCGTTTCTGCGACAATTCGTTGTCGTTGGTTCCGAATGTTTGTTCATCGGACGTCAAGGACGAGGTCTCATTTTCACATGCGCCAAAAGTCGATCTCTTCATCTGCATTTTGTTTTGGCATGAACGATGAAGATAACAAAATAGAAATAGTATGCCTCATCCTCTCACACCAAGGATACTCTTGGACGAGGAGTTGTTGTCATGTCGGTGCCTTTTGGTAGGAGGAGTGCGCTGGGTTCGAAGACTTCGCCACGGATGGAGTTGTTGAGCACAGTGCGGGAAGGGTGCCCGAAGCATTGATGCCAGAGGTCTGTGTAGCACAATCTCTCTGAGTCGGATAATAGTATCCTGACGTTTCTGCTAGTGCATCTGATGTGGCAGGTGCAAGTTCAGACTCGGGAGCGGAGGTGGGAGCTGGAGTGGTACTGCTGCATCTTTGACATCCATAGTGACAGTGAGCGTTGTCACATTGCAGCGGATTTCGTGGCAGGTCCACGTCTGGGCCTCCATGAGTGGGCTTTTTATGGGGATCACTAGTGACTTGTCAACCACAGGATGTGGGTCGACGACCATTGGTTGAATGTTGTTGATGACGGCGAGCAGTTCCAGCTCTGGTTTGTCAGGTTGCCCTCTTGAGGGGAGCTGTCCCCTGACAGAGATGTTTGGCACCTTCTTCTGCCATGCCAGCATGATTTGAGGAGGTAGGAACTGAGTGAGAGCGACGAAGTCCCTCCGAGTCAGAGTGCTCGAGGTCAGGCTAAGTGGGCTGTACCCAGCATTGTTCACGGCGTTCAATCCGCGGCGGTGCAGTCGGAGTGGCTGACGAGTCCTGGTTTGTAAGTCGCACCAATACATTTTTCATTGTTCATTTTTCATTGTGTTTGATGGACTCTGATTGCAGCTCGATGCCGCAAGCCATCAGTTGTGCGGCTGTACGGAGATTGAAGTTCAGACCTTCGACGACAAGACCGTCAGAGGCGCGGAGTCCAAAGTGGGAGTTGTTTGATTCGATGACTGCATCCCCGCTGCTGTCAGCAAACGAGGGGATGTTGTCGACGACGGTGACTTCGCAGGTGACGTCGAGACTTTTCGTTGTACACGTAGCGGGATAAGCCCACCATATGCTGTCTGCAACAAATATCCACGTACCACTTGCCGAAGTCCGGAGAGCGGTGAATGATGCTGGCGATGAGTGGGGATATGTAGTGGTTTTGCCCAGCTCCGGATTTCCCGCAGGTAGGTGGTCGATGTCCTCGTGGATTGAAGAGCTGGCGGATATTCTGGTAGTAGGGGATGGAGTTGGAAGTTGTGAACTTCGTTTAGATTGTTACTGCTGGGTTTATTCTCGTGTTCGTAGTAGTGGTGACGACAAAGAGCCTGTAGATCCGAACTAGGCAATCGAAGGTGGATCACAGCAGCGAGTGCACCACTCGGTGTTGTGTTCTTTCGTCTTGCACATCTGTCAGAAGTATCATCTCCGGTGATTCTTTTTCATTCTGCTCGGCTTATGTGTGAACATGACCTTCTACTTCTTTCCTCCTCTGTTGTTGCACTCATCCAGGTCTTGCTAATCTAAGAGGAGTTGGCCGCAAAGGGTTTCCTCCGGCACATGCAGAACCCCGTCGAGCCTACAGCACCTCTGTGCAACTTTCCCTGGCCTTACCTCTCTCACACGTCCACCCCTTCCTTCCTCAGGCGCTGCACCTCTTCCCGTGTGGCCTGCACGGTGTGCCAGTTGAGCACGGGGGAGAGCAGCCCCATGGCCATCCCCGGATGGCCTTGCTGCACCAGCCATGCTAGCAGAGGGGCGAGGGAGTGCTCGTTGAGGGAGCCCCCCAGGGTGAGCAGGAACTAGAGGGCGGCGTGGAGGGGCGTCATCTGCACCATGAGGCGCACGTTGCGCGTGCGGTGCTTGAGGAAGAAGCGCACGCCGTTCTCCCCTCGCTGCCTCTCCTGCACCCGTGGCGCGGCACATGGGCCAGCATTGGGTAGGATGGCGTGTAGCGTATCGGAGAGCAGCGCACGGAGAACACGAAATGAGTTGGAAAGATGAGGGAGGCAGTGAAGGGAAGGGAGCAGCAAGCAGACAGCACGAGCAACAGGGAGGCCAGCAGGGAGGCAGTAGGGAGGCAGCACGAGCAGCAGGGGGGCAGCACGAGGTCACCTGGCGAATGAGAGCGGGCAGCTGCGAGGGGTGGAAGGGCGGGTGCCAGTGGAAGCCCATGGCCTCCGGGCACTGCCATATGCGCGCACCGCACTGCCGCAGCCGCTCTGAGGAGCACAACCAGGGGGTGTGGGGTTACGGTATGTAGATTTTGGAACGTAAATGGAATGAGGCTTGGCAATGCGCCTAAGCAGCATAGCAGCTAGCACACAATTGAAACCAGCTCTGTATCCCGTACCCCTTATCCCACCCCATGACATGCTCAATCCAGCCCCCCTCGTGCCCCCACACACCCCATCCTCCCCCCACCCCACCTCCGAGCTCCAGGTCCTCCCATCCGTAGCTGCTGAACTCCGCATCAAACGGCCCCCTCTGCTGCCACTGCTGCTTCGCCGCTCCACACCTGTCACCATCCCGCCCTCCCCCTCCTGCATCCACTCCCTGCGCTTTCCTATCCGCATGCTTGCCCCCAGCCCTCTCCTCTACTCCGCTGCGCACATCAATCGAGGTGTTGGGGGAGGAGGAGGGGGGGTTGGCAGTGGTGGTGGCAGCAGTGGAGGGGGGGGTGAGGCGGAGAGTGGCGGCGGCCAGCATGCGGCGCGAGATGGCAACATTGCCCGTGGCAAAGAACGCGGCGGAGTAGTCCTGCGCGCACACGGGAGGGAGAAGCCATGGGAAGGCGTGAGGAAGAGGGAAGGCACGAGGCATAGGGGGTGTGGTAAGGAGAAGCAGAAAACGGTGTTGGTTAGAATGCAGAAAGTTCATGTGTGCTTGGGTGGGCACAGTGGCGCACTTGCACCTGCACCCATGTCGTGCTTGCAGAACAACACGAAACAAGGAAAAGATATCGTGCGTAGGCAGCGTTGCAGCGAAAGGTAGCATTGGGTTGCCGTGTGGATGGCAGCATGCATGGTGAGCTTGAAGGGTTCAGCCATGGGGTCATGGAAGTTGCTTGTGTTCACCACGCGCCCGTACGAGAAGGTGCGGTCGTCCCCGAACCTGCTGCTTGCCTCGGCGAGAGCACGCGCATGCGCTGCTAGGAAGCCTGAAGAGGTGCGGTGAGAGGAAGTGGGGAATGCACTCGAATCAGCAGGAGGCAGCAACGCCAGTAGGTCTGTGTGTCTCTGAATCTGCGTGTGTACCTGTATGTGTGTGTGTAGGTGTATGTGTGTGTGTAGCGTAGGTGTGTGTACCTGTATGTGTGTGTGTGTGTGTGTGTGCGTGTGTGTGTGTGTGTGTATGTGTATGTGTGTGTGTGTGCGTGTGTGTGTGTGTGTGTGTGCGTGTGTGTGTGTGTGTGTATGTGTATGTGTGTGTGTGTGTGCGTGTGTGTGTGTGTGTGTGCGCGCGTGTGCGTGTGTGTGTGTGTACCTGTATGTGTGTGTGTGTGTGTGTGCGTGTGCATGTGCGTGTGTGTGTGTGTGTACCTGTATGTGTGTGTGTGCATGTCTGCGTGTGTGTGTGTGTGTGCGTGTGCGTGTGCGTGTGTGTGTGCGTGTGCGTGTGGGTGTGTGTGTGTGCGTGTGCATGTGCATGTGTGTGCATGTGTGTGCATGTGTGTGCTTGTGTGTGCATGTGTGTGCATGTGTGTGCATGTGTGTGTGAGGCCCTGTTGCGCCCTCCCCCGCGCACCGCGGCACACCACCATGTCGGAGTCGATGAACACCATCGTGCTGCCTGCAGCCGCGCCCACGCCATGGTTGCGAGCAGCCGTTGCGCCGCCGTGCTGCTGCTGCAGCAGCCGCACATGGGGGAACGCCACAGCTGCTGCCGCTCCTCCTGAATGCGCCGCCGCTTCTCCCGCCTCCCTTGCGGCGCCCTCCCCCCCACACTCGAGGGACCCCACCCCCATGGCGGCGAGGGTGCGCACGGTGCCGTCCGTCGACCCGTCGTCCACCACCACCACCTCATAGCGCCGCACGCCCGCCTGCGTGTGGCCCACCTGCTGCTCCAGCGCGCGCAGGCACTTAACGAGGATGGGCAGGCGGTTGTGCGTGGGGATCACCACGCTCCACACGCCCTCCTCCCCGCGCGCCCATGCCACCATCCGCTCCGTCGCCTCCTCCGCCGCGCCTCCCGCGCCCGCCGCGGTCGCATCTAGGCGGATCGACTGAGGTCGGCGGGGGAACGACCAGGACGCTGCGGCGCGAGAGCCAGCTGGCGCGATGGAACTGGCGATGATGGCGCGCGCACGGCGCGACGGCCGGCCGCCTACTCCACGGGGACCAGTGAGGCCGCGAGCGGCGCTGCTACTGAGGCACGCATGTTCGGGATCCTGGCGGAGGCGTCCGTGCCGGGGGGAACGGTCGTTGCGGGCTTGGAACCGCGCGCTGCTGCCGCGGGTCGCCGCCCCTCGCACACGCGCTTCAGCGCCGGCGGCAGAATCGCAGGTCGACATGAGTCGGGTGGTGCTGCAGCACCCTGTTCCAGCGGCGCGATCGGACAACGGGGGAAGTCTAGCGGTGATCATGACAAAGGCGCTTCTGACGCGAGGACGAAAACATGCAAGGCGAGAATGGCTGGTTCACCAACGTGGGGCACCGCACTCTCACACTTAGGGTGCGGGACATCCAATTCGTAATTCGAGACACCTGTCGAACTAGGAGAGGGTTACATTACGTCCCCGTCGCGGCGAAAACCCTCAGCAGAATTCACGAGAACGGCTGTTTGAACCTGGTCTCTTCCACGTTCAAACACCACAGCATTTCCGGAACCCAAGTGACCACATTTCGCAGGGATGCCGCCACATGCACAACTGATGTGCACAAGTCGCAGGAGGAAGCTCTCGCGTAGTGTCGTTCCTGGACTTCGAGTGTGATTTGAGGGCGTATCCAGCGTGTTCGTATAATATTTACTTTGCATATCAGGTACGCAATTTCGACCTGGTAACCCGAACTTTCGTGTCGATTCGGACACGCACGAGAAATTGACTGTTTTGGCGGACACCCTCCAAACGTGCCCACAGACGTGGGCCGCACGTTTCTGAACCGAATGGAGATCGTGCCCAAATTATACACACGGCAGAAACGTCCAGATCCTGGCTGGCGAAAAATAGAACGCTAACATTCGCCAGGCTTTCGTGACGCATGCAAAGCACCGGGCGGGGCCTCTTTTCCGGGTCGGAATTCGGTTACCCTGCTGTTTTCGCGTGTCAGTCTCCTATGTGCGCGCTGCACACCCGCTCATTTGTCGAGACACGGGGGGGACACGTGTCCGCGCGTTTTGCGGTTGATACTGTAGGTGTGCCTCAATACATTTCCACTTGGCGTTTCAATATTTCGGCGTGTTAAAAAAACGTCAAAAATTCGTGTTGGGGCAAAATGAACGCGCTGGACACACCCTGAGCGTGGAACTTGTTTTCGCTGGAGGTTCGGTTTATGGTTCTAACTTAGGGACCGGGTTAGTGCAAGGGTCAGATATTGGCAGTTTGCGCCCGATGTCCCGCGACCTTAAAGCCCGAAACTCAAGTTGCATGCCGGGCCTTGGTGTGGGAGCTAGGCTTGATACAAATCATACTCGAACAGAGTAAGCTCCACGTTTGTTGGAATTTGCTCTGTTCGAGGGGGGCTGTGCGGCACAGGAAGAGTTGCACTAAGTGAGTTGCGGTGCTGTCTGTTGCGTACCGTACATGGTCGGTGCCCCTGGCGTATGGGCCACCCTTTTCCAACCCTCCCACTCCGTGCACTTTCCCACTCCCTCCAACTCCCCCAAATTCTAACACTCCCGCCTATCCTCCCACCCCCTCCATTCCGCCAACTCCTCCCGTGGAGCCCACAGCTCCTCCCCAACTCTCTCGTTCCCGCCGATCCACTGCCATCTGGAATGCAACTGCCCAACTCCCATGCTGGATACATACTCCCTTGCTCTCCGCCCCTCGCGCTTACTGTCCTCCCCTGTCCCCTCCCTACCCGTCATCTCCCTTGCAGCCCACCCCTCTCTCCCTCCATCACCACATGATGCTGCTCACTCCCAGCACCCTTGCTGAAAGGTGAATGAAAGAGGGCGGAGCGGGGGGTTGGGGGGATTGTGAAAGCAAAGCCCTAGGTACAATAAGCACTGGTTTAAGGGAGACCAGGGGTGCAAACAGAGAAGAGGGAGATAGGGACGACAGGGAGCCTGTGTGGAAGGAACGGCGCAGAGGGTCGGCTTTTAAATGGACAGAGAAGGGGGGTGGAAGGGAGGGGGTCAGTGGGGGACAGAGTGGAATGGACATCGGGGTGAGGGAACAGGATGTCAGTGAGGGTGGAAAGGTGGACCTTGCTTGCGATCCTGACATCCTGTCTTAATGTGCCCATCATGCTCTCTAACCCTTGCCTCTCTCTCTGCCCACCTTGCCCGTTCTTCCTTGCTTCTCTCTCTGCCTACCTTGCTCTCTCTACCTTGCCCTTTTCTCTACGAACCTTGCTCTCTCTACCTTGCCTATATTTCTGCCCCCCTTGCTCTATCTGTTAACGTAGAAACGAATGATTACTAGAGGTGGAAACCTAGAACAAATACTAGTTGGTTGTACTCACTAGAAGCATACCTCAGTCTAGCCTATAACTTCTACATAGATAATATGTATAAGTTGACACACCCCCTAGGCTAGACAAGGGGTGAAACTAAACAAGAAGCAAACAGCTCAGGGCGGCACTACTAGTCCAACCACTGAGGCAGGGGTCTGGAGACCAGTCAGCAAGAATACAACCAAAACTGAAGCAAGCCAGGGTGGCACTACTAGTCCAGCCACTGGAGGTAAGGCCACAAGGCCAGTCTGACAAGCATATATAATAGAGAGTACACAATCAGGATCCTAACAGGGGAGCAGCTATAGGAACAAGACCAAGCTGTACACAGTGCCGCTGATGATCTTTAGGCGCAAGCGCCTTAGTAAAGATATCAGCTGTGTTGGCACCTGAGGCCAAGTGAACTACGCGGGCCTGGCGGCGCTGCTGTAGCTCGCGCAGGAGGAAGTACCGCAGCTGGATATGCTTCGCTCTGCCCTCAAGCCGAGGCTCCTGACACAGGAGTATCATGGCCCTGTTGTCAGCGTACAGGACCGGGGCAGAGCTAGGCCGCTCACCTAAGTCTGTGAGCAAGAAGGTCAGCCAGCGGAGCTCCTGTGCCGCCATGGCACCAGCGTAGATCTCAGCCTCACAGCTAGACTGAGCCACAGACGACGAGCGAGTGGATCTCCAAGAGATAGCACCCGAACCAAGGCTGAAACAGTAGCCCTGCGACGACCTGAGCGTCTCAGCGTCGTCTGCCCAAGAAGCGTCTGTGTGCCCAGTAAGGACCACTGGCCTGCGTCCTCCTAGCACTAACCCCATGCCTGATGTACTAGCAAGATAACGCAAAACCCTCTTAGCGGCAGACCAGTGCTGAGGTCGGTGTCTGCCTGTAGCCACAAAGCGAGCCAGGATGCTGAGAGGGTATGCGAGATCTGGGCGAGTGCAAGTCATCAGGTACATGAGGCAACCCACCAGCTCTGCGTAGGGGCCACTGGGCTCTACTGGCTCCTCAGGAACGGGAGCAGAGAGCCCATGGTCTACGGGTAGAGGTGTGGGCTGTGCGGAGGAGAACTGAAGACCGAACCTCTGAAGGACCTGACGCACCAAGTGTGACTGGGTCAGAGTGATGGTGCGTGCTGCTCTGTCCCTAGAGATCTGCAGGCCAAGATAGCGACGCAGCTCTCCAAGGTCAGTGCAGGTGTGTCTCTTCAGCAGCTCAGCCTTCACAGAGGCCAGTGCGTCCCTGTCAGGAGTAGCGAAGACCAGGTCGTCTACGTAGACAAGGATGTAGAACGGAGTCTGGCCGGAACGCACAAACAGTGAAGGGTCAGCAGAGGACGGAAAGAACTGCAGGTCTGCTAACGTGGCACGTAGCGTGTCGTGCCACTCGCGGGGAGCCTGACGCAGGCCGTAGACCGGGCGCCTGAGAAGCCACTGGGTCCCAGGGGGGAAGGTACCAGTGAAGCCCTGTGGTCGGCGCAGGTAGACCTGCTCGTGTAGGCTGCCCTGAAGAAAGGCAGTAGAGAAGTCGAGAGAGTGAAGCTCGTAGTCACGCTGTGCTGCTACGTGTAGCAGCGCCCGAAGAGTGGTCATCTTCGGGGTCGGGGCGAAGGTCTGGAAGAAGTCAACCCCCTCGCGCTGACTGAAACCTCTGGCCACGTAGCGCGCCTTGAAGACAGGCGGCTCTCCAGGGGGGCGCTTCACCTTGAAGAGCCACCGACCATCGACTACGTTCACCCCAGGCGGGGGAACTGCGTCGACGTAAGTGCCGGTGGATCTCCAGGATGCCATCTCCTGCTCCATGGCAGCTATCCACTGAGAGGCCCAAGGTCCCGAGGTGGCCTCAGCGTAGGTGCGAGGGGTCGGGATGTCGAAGGCGTCTGGGTCACCCTCAGGGACTAACAGCATGGAGCAGAGATGGGGAGCAGCCTCGGAAAGGAAAGCCAGCTCGTACTGCCTGTCCTCTAGGACGTCACTGCCAAGGGCAGGAGCACCCCCGACGGACAGAGGACGGGCAGGGTCAGAGACCAGAGCGGTAGCGTAGTCAAGGCGGCGGGTAGAAGCGAAGTCAGCGACAGCAGCGACAAGCGCGTCAAGGCGCGAGACAGGAACAGCAGGGTCGGTAACAAGAGAGGCAAGGACCCGAGGGACAAGGGGACGAGCAGCACGGAGGTAGTCAGAGAACGGAGGAGGTGCAACAGCAAGGGACGAGGGAGGAGGGGACGGGAGGAGGGGAGGACGAGACGAGTGGGAACGGAGCAACATAGGGTGGGTGGGCAGGACAGGAGAGACGGGACGAGCACGGGAGGGACGGCGAGCCCAAACGTGAGACGGAGGGGTAGGGTCAGGGGACAGCGGAGGAGACACAGGAGGGGAACGAGGAGGAAGACGGGCCGGAGACGAGTCTGGCGGCGGGAACACAGGACCGTAGACAGGGAGGTCAGGAGGCGGTGGGGGAGACACCGGCGCGCGGTCCGGGGAGGGAAGGCCGAGCAGGCGGAGAGCGGAAACCGGCGGCGACGGCTGCTGTGGCGGCGACGACGGCTGGGCCGGAACTCTCGGACCAGCAGAGGCAGAACGACCGTCGGCAGAACACTCAACAGCAGCACCCCCAGAACCAACACCCCAAGAGCGAGAACCCCCTCCAACACCAGCGGCACCCCCAGAAGCCGCAGGACGAACACCCTCCTCCACACCAGCACCCCCAGGGGCCGAGAGCAGCGGCGGCAGTGGCGGCGACAGCGGCGACGGCTGCGGCGGCGACGGCGACGGCGGCGGCAGCGGGGTCGGCGACTGCGACAGTGGGGGCGGAGGCACTGGGGAAGGGGGACGCGGCAAGGACGGACCGGGGGTACCACCAGAGTCAGCAGACTCCTCAACGGGGACAACCGACGGGAGGGGAGTGACGTGGGAGACACCAGACGGGGCAGGACGAGGCGGGAGAGGGGCAGGGGCTACCGGGGGAGAGGGAGCAAGGAAAAGGGGGGGGGCAACTGGGAGACCTCGGTGAGGGAAGCGGCGGTAGAAGGAGACGGACTCGTCAAAGGTGACGTCACGAGAGTGGAGGAAGCGGTGAGACGGCGGGTGGTAGAAAAGCCAGTCAGACGAGTCCAGGGGGAAACCGAGGAAGACACAGGGGACAGTGCGGGCAGTGAGCTTGTCCGTGCCAGAGGCACGAACGTGAGCAAGGCAGCCCCAGACGTGGAACGCAGACGCGTCACCGGGGGACCCGGTCCAAAGGAGGGTCGGCGAAACCTGCGGCCGCTGGGAGCGTGGCCACAGGTTAAGCTGGTGAGCCGCGTAGCGAACAGCGAACGGCCACAGAAAATGGGGGGCATCGGCATGGATCATGGAGGTACGGGCGACCTCCATGACCAAGCCGATGCGGCGCTCAGCAACCCCATTCTGCTGTGGCGAGTCCGGCAACGTGTACGACTGGGTGATGCCCTCCGCACGACAGAACTGTCCAAGCCGACCAGAGGCGAACTCGCCGCCACGGTCGGAGTGGAGACACAACACGGGGAGACCGCGGTGGAGACGCGCAGCTACAACCCACGGGAGAAGAACGTCGGGCACGTCGACCTTCCGCTCCAGGGGAAACACCGTGGTGTAGCGCGTGTAGTCGTCAACGAGCACAAGGAAGTAGCGCTCACCGCGCGGTCCGGGGACGGGGGCAGGGCCCCAAACGTCCAAGTGCAGGGTCTGAAGGGGGGCAGTAGCAGGACGCAGCGAGGAGGAGTGAGGAGCACGGCGGAGCCGACCCTCGACGCAAGGCGTGCACGGTGGCGCAGTCGAGGGAGGAAGGGCAGGGAGCGACGCGGGGAGACCTAAGACAAGACCGTGCTGGGACATGTGACGCAGACGCGGGAGAGCAGGGTGACCTAAGCGGTGGTGCCAGAGAAGGGAGGGGTGAGTGAGGGACCGACACGAGCAAGCTGCAGCGACCTGGGAGGACGCACCAACCGGGGGGGAAGCGGTGTGTAGGGTAAACAGACCGGACACCGGGTCCCGGGGGAACGTCGCAAGGGGGGAACCTGAGACAGCCTCAGAACAGACAGCGAACCGCTCGTGCCCGGGGAACGTGGTGGTGACGCCGAGGTCCTGGAGACAGCCGACACCAACCAGGTTCCTGGAGAACGAGGGAACGTGGAGGCCAGTAAGGGAGCCCGAGGGAACTGCCGGACAGGGAAGGGACGTAGAACTGCGCGCGACGACCGGACCCGCAGAGGGGTCAGCGAGAGAGACAACAGCAGGTGCAGCAAGCGGCGTGAGCGTGGAACGGTCGCGGAAGAAGCAGGCAGAAGCACCAGAGTCGAGAGTGAAGGACAGCGACGCAGTGGCGGAGGCCGCGGACGGAGCCGGTGCAGCGACTAGACTAGGCAACCTAGGCAGTCCTACGCCTGTCGCAGCAGGGGAAGCTAAGCTACACAAGGGTGAAACACCTAAACGAGAGTACACATGGTAGTAAGATCCATCAACACTAGAAGCGTCAGCATACAAAGCATGCAAAGCAGTACCTATCTGATCCATGTCTAACTCAAAGATCGGCACGCCCTGGCGGAGCAGGCTGTGCCAGTCAGGGAGGTCCGGGGCCGGGCCAAAGCGACGACGAAAAATATCGTCGAGGCGGCGGAAACAGTGGGCGGTCGGGTGCGGGCGGCGGCACAGAGTGCCGCGGAGAGGCCCGGTCTGAAGCTGGTACTGGCAGGTCACAGCACTGGAGCCGCTGGTAGACGCCAAGCTGCGCGGGCCGCCACCACGGCCACCGCCTCCGGAGGTGCCGGGCCAACCAGGCGGGAGACGAGCCCACGGCTGCGGCGGCTGCGGCTGGGGCTGGTCCTGCTGCTGCTGGGACTGCTGCTCCTGCCCACCGGTGGTAGTCCCCTCAGGCGGACTACCGTCACCACCACCACGACCACTACCACCTGCGTCACCACCCCTACCTCCCTGGCGGCCACGGCCACCGCGACGCGAGCGCTGCTG